AGGCTGTGGTCAGGAGTGTACCTGTGGAGGACATCAAAGGATCAAGCAGCACTCAAGCACTTCCGTGGACCTCAATAATACCGCAAGCCGACCAGGCCACGGAGTTCAAACTCTTCTCCTGCGTGTATTGTCCATATCGTGCTACCCAGAAGGGAAACCTGCAAAGACACATGCGAAGTCATACAGGAGAGAAACCTTACTCCTGTCATTTGTGCTCATATTCAGCAACTCAGAAATTGCACTTAGATAATCATATTCGTACTCATACTGGAGAGAAACCATTTTCATGCCCAGAGTGTAATTTTTGCACAAATCAGGAATCAAATCTGAGGAGACATATTGTTTGTACACATTCCAAGGATACACCATACACCTGCAAATATTGCTCTTATCAGAGCAAGAGCTGGGGATATCTCAGGAAACATACTTCTAGAGCCCATAAAAAAGAGAAAGAGGAAAATAATTAGTTATTAATATTAATATTTTTAAAAAGTCAATTAGGCTCACAAGTTAAGAGAATGCAAGAGTAACAAAAGCTTATCAAGAGCTTTTCAACCTGAAATCACTGTTGACCTAAAGTTGAGTATCGGTTTTCTCTCCATAGGTGGCGNCTCCCTCCCTCTCATTTTCTCCCTCTATCCCCTCCCTCCCTCCTTTCCTACCTTCCCTTTGCTTTTGCCCCTCTCTGTCTCCCTTACTCTTTCCCTCTTTGGTGTAGAAATGTGAAAAAAAAATCAAAAGGATGCCAGACTTGAAATGAAAAATTGTTTGAAATAAATTTTGAAATAATCTTCAGGATGGAAAGATAGACATACACACAACCATGTAATAATCTTCCTTGACCAGGTTTTTGTTTTTTAGATTTAAAGAAAAAGTTATGGTTGAAAGGTTTCAAAAGCTTGTCAGGAAGATCAGTTTAATCACAGACATATGCACACCCACACATGCACACCCACATGCATACCAGCAGACATGCACACAGCACACATACACACCAGCACACACCCATATCAGAACATACACTCCAGCACACACACACACACTTGCGAAAGCACACACACACACACACACACACACACACACACACACACACAAATACATATGCTCTCACAGATACACATGCACTCAAATACACATTCTCACACACACAAAGGCACATGCACACAAGTACACATGCATACACAAAAGTGCATGCACAAAAATACAAATGCATGCACACTCAGACACATATGCATGCATACATGAATACACAGGCATGCACACACAAATACACATGTACATACAATCACACACACACACACACACAAACACACTAGGAAATCAGTCTGTTTTGTTTAATATTTTATGTTGTAAAGTTGCATCATTAGGTACCCAAAAGCTATTGTAATATCAAACTTTGGGAACAAATAAAAAATGAACTTTTTGTTGTAATTTGTAACACATAAATAAGTGTTTAACTGACTGACATACCCCGTGCATTTATATCAGTAAACACATAAGGTAAATTTTCAGTTTCTGTAATTCATATATATTAGATATATGACATTGTGATAGTTTCATATCTACTTATTGTATGACAGTTTACACAACACAGCCATCGATGGTTTCTTTTCTTATAGGCTGGTTGGCCAAGAGGCTGGGTGGGCAGTGATCCTTCGTTGGAGGAGAGTGGAAGCTTGGACCACCTGGTGACAACCAAACAGTTCAAGTGTGCTGACTGTGACAAAGCCTTTGCCACTAGATGGGAGTATGAGCGACATCGTCGGACTCACACTGGGGAGAAGCCTTTTGCCTGTCAGATCTGTCCTTACCGTGCAACGCAGAAAACCAGTCTCCAGAAACATCTTCGTACTCACAGTGGAGAAAAGCCATATGCATGTCATTTTTGCACATATAGAGCTTCTCAGAAAGTTCATCTTCAAAATCATATCCGTACCCATAGTAGTGACACATTCTCATGCCCTCACTGTCCATTCAGAACTAACAGATATGATGTCCTCAAAAAACATATCCCAACTCACCCTTCTGAAAAGTGACTTTTTAACTGATTCCTTGATTGCAAGCTAAAAGGGTGTGAATCATTGAGAATAATTTCTCTTGTAATTATGTGCTTGGAGTTTCAATTCTTATGTTATCTGAGTATCAGAACTGCATAGGCCATTCCCTTGTCCATTTACCGATAAGTTCTGCCATTCGCTGTAAGTCTGGCTAAACAGTGTAAAATTTCCAAGGAAAATTGGGTTGCATCACACCTGGTCAGTATCTGATGTGCTACAGATGAAATTAGGGAAGCATGAAAAATGCAGGAGGGGAATGAAAGTAAGTGACAGATAGAAATGAGATATTCAGGAACTACTAGTTATTTAGGAAATTAATTTGCTGCCAGGAAGTGAAGGATAATTGAATAAGTGACTACAATCAGTTTTACATGTATTTTCATCTCCATGCAAAAGAGGACCTTTAAGCTATACATTATTCCCATTATATGAAAGACAGAAGTAGATAAAAAAACTGACTGCAAATCTAGTATGAGTGGGTTGTTAATGTTACAGGATGCATCTTTTGGTTATAATTGGAACCCTATTTTCAGCCATACCATAGAGAAACTGATATCCAGTGCTGGGCTTTTTACCAGATCAAATAATGTTTTTTCATGTCCTAAACCATCTTTTAGCATTTTGAAATAAGTCCTGTAAATGATGTGGAAAAGGTTTTATATGTTTGTGTTTATAGATGTATGTGTATATGTGTGATTTGATGCACATAAATGCACACACTTATGTGTATGTGTCTGTATGTATGTGGGGGGATACCTGTATAGGGGTGTGTGTGGGTAAGCTTGAAAACATATACTGTATTTGATAATTCGGCATAGAAAAAATATTTCTTGTTGATGAATAGAATATAATTTAAGCCAGACCATATAAAAGTATTTCGGGATAGAAAAAATACCTCTTGTTGATGAATAGAATATAAGTTAAGCTGTAAAAAAATTCAGCTGAAATCTGTTACTGTTTAAGAGTTGTCAGACTATGGAAAGATACATACTTGATACAAAGGTAGATACATGATGGATAGAGAAATGTGTACTTTCATACACACAGGTTGAATGAATTAATTTCTTGTTTTACAAGAGAAAAATAAAATTGTGAAAAGAAACATCAGATCTAGATTATATGTTCTTTTCTCAAAGAATGTGACCTGGTATCATATCTATTGATGGGAATAATAGATATTGACAATGTAGTACTGTATATAAAGGTATGTGAAGAAGTTCCTCTGTCCACTCTAGAAGAAATATTGTTTTCATATACATTTTGCAGTCTCATTTTAATGAGGATACATGAATGACACTGATGTTGTCTGTCCTTGTAGGCTGTGGTCAGGAGTGTACCTGTGGAGGACATCAAAGGATCAAGCAGCACTCAAGCACTTCCGTGGACCTCAATAATACCGCAAGCCGACCAGGCCACGGAGTTCAAACTCTTCTCCTGCGTGTATTGTCCATATCGTGCTACCCAGAAGGGAAACCTGCAAAGACACATGCGAAGTCATACAGGAGAGAAACCTTACTCCTGTCATTTGTGCTCATATTCAGCAACTCAGAAATTGCACTTAGATAATCATATTCGTACTCATACTGGAGAGAAACCATTTTCATGCCCAGAGTGTAATTTTTGCACAAATCAGGAATCAAATCTGAGGAGACATATTGTTTGTACACATTCCAAGGATACACCATACACCTGCAAATATTGCTCTTATCAGAGCAAGAGCTGGGGATATCTCAGGAAACATACTTCTAGAGCCCATAAAAAAGAGAAAGAGGAAAATAATTAGTTATTAATATTAATATTTTTAAAAAGTCAATTAGGCTCACAAGTTAAGAGAATGCAAGAGTAACAAAAGCTTATCAAGAGCTTTTCAACCTGAAATCACTGTTGACCTAAAGTTGAGTATCGGTTTTCTCTCCATAGGTGGCGTGGGCCAGTGTCCAGGGGGACGGCGACCAACTGATGGGGAACAACAAGAAAGATCACCACCAGCTGGGGATTCACTCATATGGGGATCCTTTAGGGACTGTAGATTTTGGGGCCCATCTTGAGGCATCATCTTTTCGGGATCAAATGGGTACTCACACAGTCATGGAACAAGTTATAACAATGCCAGGGAGAGAAAAGGAATTCCAGTGCCAAGATTGTCATAAAAGCTTCCCTACAAAATGGAAGCTTGAACGTCACAGACGTATTCACACAGGAGAAAAACCCTTTGCCTGTGAACTATGCCCATACAGAGCATCTCAAAAGCCAGTCTTACAAGCCCACATGCGTACACACACTGGTGAAAAGTATTCTTGTCCAATTTGTGCATTCCGTTGCTCACAGAGGGTTACTATGCAGAAGCATATGGTCACACATAACAATGATTATCAAGAATATCATCAATGATACTCTGAATGAGGTTTGCTGTTTTATGATTGATATTTACAATTAAGAGACCAAAATCCATGGTAAAACTGTTTATTTCATCTAACAGATGCTGTATGAATTCCCTAAACTGTATGCTTTGACAATACGAGAATTTTGATGTGATATAGAGATATTTATGGTGTTTCATCTTCCAAAGATATTTAACATAGTGCTTCCTCTTATATGTTTTTGTTATAGGTAGTTTATGCAACTCAGAGTATGAAAAGTTATAGTATTAGGTAATAAAACATGCTGCTTAAAAGACAACAATAAAAATTATACCAAATAAAATGGATTAAGAATTCATTATATGTTTATAGAGATTTTAGGAACATCAAAAATTAATTGGATCCTGTTGAATTCCCTGTCAGAAACAGATATTGCACAGATGTGTTGTAAAGTTATTATTACTCATTACTCTAATGTCAGGGCTGCAACTTGTTTTTCTTTTTGGTAGCTTCAATTTTATTTTTGATGATAACCCAAAGTTATATAAATGCTGCATATGTGAGAAGGTATCTCATAATTCTGTGTAGTAGTGTGACCCATGTTTAAATGTTACACTGCATTTAAATGTTCATTAGTACTTGCAAATACTCTTGAAAGTGCACACACACACACACACACACACACACAC